GGTTTCAAAAAAGCGTTCCATTGCACCCCCTTTTTTTTCGTTCGAAAAAAAACCACAACCCCCAAACTTGTTCCCGGAGGTTGTTGTTTGTTTTACCCGGTTTAACGCCGTTTTTTTCGCCCCCAGGGTTCCCCCCCAACCCCAGCGCCCAATTTTATTCCCCCGCCAACCAAAAACCAAAAGATTGTTGTTTCCCAACCATTTCCCAACGACCCCCCCCGAGAACCACCACCAAAAAGAACCCCTTTTCCCAAAAAAGAAAAGAGCCACCACCAACCCCCCTTGGACCATTTGAAAAAAAGACTTTTTTCCGGGTTCCCACCCGTTGGGCCCGGGGGCCCCCTTAACTTCGTTGGGCGGGTTGGACCCCATTCGGCCCGGGGGGGCCCCGCGTTGGCCTTCGTTGACTTCGCGGTTTTCCCCGAGTTCCCCTTGGGGAAGGTGAAGCCCCCTTTCCCCCCCCCCCGGGGGGGGGTTTTCCGCCAGGGGGGGGGGGGGGGGGGGGCGGGAGGAAGGTGGTGGCAGCAAAAACAAGACGAGTGAGGGGAAATCGTCGCTCCGGGGAACGCAAGTCGTTTTGAAGGGCAAGAGAACAACGGAACAGCAATCGGAATGTCGACTGGCCGGGGGAGTTTGGGGTTTGCGTCCTGTACAACAGTGTTGTGCATGTTCGAAGACAACCACCAGGTGCCACGACGTAAAAGGAAAAAAAAAAATTGGACGCACCAGCTCCAGGGGGTGGCCCGGGTTGTCCTTGAGGAAGACGCTGATGATCTTGCGGATCATCGTGTTCTTGCCCATGAGCACCGTGGCAGAGCCGCGAAGCGCATAGCGGATCTTGGCCATCTGGTTAGACCCCACGTTATCGGCCTGGAAGAGGAAAAAGGGACCGACGAAAGAGTCACGGTAGACGGGTTGAAACGAGGGCCGGCGAGCGGCAGCGGTCGCATGGCGAGGTGATACAGGGCCACCGGCGTGAATCCAACCGGCGCCACGGCGTACCCACGTGTTCTCCTCGTCGCGGTCACGATTCCCCCGCGTGCACCCAGTCAGGTCCTGTCGGCGCCCTCGACCCAGGCAGCTGTGTGCTCGCCTAAGCGTACCGATCTCGGCAGCACTGCACGGCTCCGAGATACACAATAGTCACATAGCTGCGGCATCTATTTTGTGCTGTTGCGCATCCACGAGCCGTACAGCAGTGCTATTGAGATCGGTACGCTTCGACAAGCACACGGCTGCCAACAGGCACTGCTGCGCAGTTCGGCAGCTGCCTGGTTCGAGGGCGCCCACAGGACTGGGTGCACCCGCCATCGTGTGTACTGCTGCTGGTCCCAAGTAAACATGCGAACGGGACGGGGCACACGGCTATCTATCTACTGCTACTGCTGTACGTGTATGCAAAGACGACGGGACGCACCTGCACCAAGAAGATCTTGGTGTGGTTCTCGAGGAGGTCCTTCAGGCGCTCGAAGTACCATGTCTTGCGTTCCGGGGAGAGCGGCATCTGGACATCGAAAACGAGACACGCGCACAGCCAACGGAGATGGTGGATTGAGGTTAAGCTTAAGGTGGCACCGCACGCGAGAACCATGCTACACAACGGTTGTCTTTACACTGCTGCTGTGTACGTAACCGTTACAGCAGTACGAGCCCAGCAGACAAAATTCGCGACCAATACGACCCTGACAAGGGGGCGAGTGGCCCTGCTCGTCAATCACAGTTACACACCCACGACACAACAATTTGATGATACACAAACACACAGAACAAGAGCGGGGTAGAGGGCAGGTATGGTGTGCAGGTGGCTACATCAGTCGATGGGAAACGGGTACCATGTGCAGCAGCAGTGGACCTGGCAAAAGCCAACAGAGGGCTTGTACAAAGTATCGCCGTAAATATGTAATGAGTAGAACCCAAAGGACCGGGGGGTTGACGGAGAACCTGGTACTTGTCCCAAGTCTGGGACTGAAGAAAAACAACATCATACACTTCGTCCAACGTTGGCGGGAGCAGCAAAAAAAACCAAGCGATTGACTCTGGATGCCGGTGTGCACCCAAAGGCAGGACGGCGGTTTGTTGTTGTGTGTTGGGTGGTTCAAAAATCGTGCTCGGTGTCAACAGCGTATAGACCTCGCAGAGAGGCATACACCGCCCAATGACAAAAGGGCAAGCCCAGAGAACTGTTGAGACAAGCCCAGTGACGCACTTACTCACTGCGCCTTGCCCAGTCACACACACGGCCTGGCTCTGTGTGGGTTGTAGCGGAGTTCGTGGCTGAGAAGGGCTCTACCAGCAATCATCAGATTCTTACGGACACGAAAAAAGTAGCTCAAAGAACACCTCGCCAAAACGCATTCCAGCAACTAAGGGGCTCACCTTGAACGACGAGGTTGAGGTGGCAGAATGGGCTCCTGTCCCAAACTATTTTTAACCACACTCAGCACTTTTTGGACCGGATGAGCAACACGGCGCACGGCGCTCCAGAGGCGCACACTCGATGCCATTCATTCCACGGAGCTCCTCCCCCCCACCAGTACAGTTTTGGTTTTCGCGGAGCTCCTCTGGTTGCGCCGCATGTTGGTTCCGCATCCCACATCCCACATCCCACGCGACGCCAACGCCAGCGTGCATGTTTGCGGAATGCTCAGCGCTGCCTTTGTCCTAGCCCTGTCAAGCTCCTTCGGTTCCAGGGTAGCTGCTTTCTCCGGGGCATCGTCCCAATTCCGATCGGCGGCCGTCCGCAACACCAGCAGACGAACATCCACAACAGGGAAGGTAGCACCAACAGCAGCAGCACCAGCAGCAGCAGCCGCACGGACCGTCATGTCGTTGCCAGCAGCGGCATTCATCGATATCGGGGCGAACCTTCTGGACGATGTCTTCCAGGGGAGGTACCACGGCGGCTCACAGAAGCACGAGCCTGACCTCGACGCGGTGCTGGAGAGAGCGAGCGCTGCAGGGGTGGAAAAGGTGCGGCGTTGGTGTGTTGTACGTCCTTAGACTATGCTTTGAGGCTGTTCGCGAACCCCTTCTTTGACCTTTGACAGATGTACATGCGGTCGCGTACTCCAAGCTTGGCCCAAATACTGAACATGCCAGCTATTTCGGGTACCACTTCCCTCGATCACGAGAGAGACAAAAATTGTTGTCGTTTCTTGCACAACGGTTAGCACGACCGTGTTTGAGGGTCCTCTGGAGCTCTTTTTTTTTTTTTGTCTTCAGGTTGTATATTAACGAAGAGCCGAAAATCAAAATCCAAATGGGCACAATCAAAATCAAAATGCGTTATCGTGGAAAACTGAAAAAAGAGGGTCGTGTATGTTAACGAGGATAGGAGACAGATGAGGCAAAATATCAAAAAGACCTGGCGCCAGGGGAAGAGCCAGCAGCGCAGCGGTGATTTTTCTAGGGTGCGTTTTACGCTCTTCTGTTCACGTGTTAATTTAGCCGATATCTCGCCAAATACTGAACGAGTTGCCTCAAGAACGGTATCCGGAAGGAGCTGGAAACATGGGCTGTTGGGCAATGCCAAGGTTTGGCGCCGTGAGGTGCCGAATGCGCCGGAAAAAAAAGGTTGTGTTGAAGCAAAAATGCCAACGGTTGCGAGCGGTCACTTCAAGTTGGGTGTTTTGGGCCGCCACGGGTTGTGATATCCACCGATAACTTTCCGAAGAAGGAAGCCACAGCAACAGCAACGCCACGCGGCAGGAGGTACGTATCTGCTCCATCTTTCAAGCCCAAGGTCTACTACCGTGGGGTATCGTGCGTGTAGGGAAAATTTTTTTGGTTGACTCTAAAAAATCCACGTCAGAGAGCGGCTAGTTCAAGTTCGCGCCGAATGTCTGCTCACAGTTTTGTTTTTCAGCGATAACTCTTCGAAGGAGGAAGCAACGGCGGAGATAGCTTTACCCACCATCTGTCTCGTACAAGGTTAGATGCCTTGGGTTATCGTGAGTGTGGAGAAAAAAGGTTGAAACTACCCTCTCCCGCACGGAACAGCCCGAAAAAGCCGCGCAGCCCTGTTCTGATCGTCAGTCCGTTCATCGCTTGTCACGATCGGCATTTTCTCCTCGAGCACCCAACGAGCCGGCCCGTTTTATGGCTTGCCGGCGAGCAGAGTCTTCTGGCTACAAATAATGGCCATGGTCTCGGTGGTAGGGTGCCGATAGCCCCTCTATGAGCAGTGTGCAGCAGGTTGTGTCGTACACTTGCTTTGCAGCGGCCTCGCGGCAGGTGCTCCAAGCCTTCGAAGTCTTGAACTCCTTGCCTCTTTGATTTTGATTTTGATAAAAAAAGTCCCCTGGGGACTTCTTCCCAGACAGAGGAACTTCCATAAAATCAAAGGGCGTCGTCAGGAGGTAGCAGATATTCGACCAATCAGATCTCGATTTTGATTTTGATTTTCGGCACTTCGTTAATATACGGCCTCACTGCAAATCAGCGCTCACAGCACTAGTGCCGTTTACTCCAACCCGTGGTCACACAGAAGAGCTCCTCTCTACTCTCCCCTCCTGCGGTACTTTGCCTTTGATTCTTAATGCGAAAAGAGTTCAGCCCTCTCTTCCCTCTGTGTACACACAAACTAGCGCTATCCACTAGGCCAGGAGCGGAAGCGAGAGAAAAACTCACTTTGCAAGAAAGCTCGCTTGCGCCGGGATTCGAACCCCTGAACCGACCTCTACAAGGTTTCGAGGATACCAACTAGACCACCGGGGCGACCGGTTATGCAGGATCTCTATATGTGTAGGATCTCTGGATGCGGCCACTAAATGTGCGCATGTTTTCTTGATGTCCTCCGTTGCCCGAGTCCCGAGTCATCTTTGTTTTTATGGGAGGAAGTTCTACAGCGTACAACAGCCGTAGAGCTTCATGATCGAGTTGGGCCCCCTGTTCTTTGGAGTTGGCACAGATGTAGTGCGGAGTTTTTGGAAATGCTATGCTGTGGTCTGGGGCGAGTGCCGCCCCCCTTTGGTCTGAAGCCTTGAGACTTGCGCATGTAGCTTCAGCAGAGTCCACAAGAAGAGCGAGTGTGCCAGTCCGTTGTTGTGTGGAGAAGTATGCACAGGAAGAACTCCAGGACAGCACCGGTAAGAGTAGTTGAAAACCTGGTTGTTAGAGAGATGTGGCATCCCAGGAAACCCTGACCAAGCCTGTCCCGCGGTTTACACCACAATAGACGTACAAGGGCCACATTTAGCGAAGCTGCCGGATGGTCACGTATACACACGAATGAACCAATCACGAGAGAGTGTGAGATTTGGCCAGAAGAGGTTCTACATGTAGGTTCTATTCTGCGGGTGAAAGCCGATCAGATCAAACCCCAGTTGCTGCAAAAGGCATTCTGTCCAAACGTACATGTGACGCGGGCATATAGCCTCAGGCCACAGCTGTACTCTCGAGAGGTGCACGCAAGTTTCCTCACACAAGACAACCGCATCTCTCTTTGCAGCCAGCTATGCAGACATGTAGTCAACCACGCTTACCGGTGTTGTCTTGGGCTGGGCTGTGTCGTCACACAATAAAAAACTCTTCGGGGACGGCGTAGTCGCTCTTGTGGACTCTGCTGGAGGTATTAATGTCGATCTTAATCTTCGTTCGACCAAAGGCGGGCGTGTACCTATCATGCAAGGTTCCCGATTACCACAAAACGTTCCGCGGAACTCCCGGAGAAAAAGGGGGATGCGAGTGGACGTTGGTTTTTGTTTCTATCTGCAGAGCTTCCTATAACACATGCAAGTGCTGCTCCGACGTACTGCTAGTCCGACGCCCCCCTCCCCCCCCTCCGGGGAGATTCATCGTACTTCTAGTGTACATTGCGCGTATTTCCGTTGGATCGATGAGGTGCCCAGTCTCTCCCTCGAATCACCCCTAACTCGCGCCTCTCTGCCGCACGACGGACGAACACCACCGGAGCAGATGATCGTGACCGCTGGTACCCTCGAGGAGAGTCGGGAAGCGCTGGCGCTCGCCAAGTCGTACCCCAACCTCTACAGCACCGTGGGTGTGCACCCCACGCGGTGCTCGGAGTTTTTCGGCGGCGACGGCGGAGGCGATGGCCCCGAGGCACACGTGGCGGCTCTGGCAGCCATACTGGAGGAAGGCAAGGCAGCCGGCAAGGTGCGAGTTACCCCACGCAGCAGCTGTCGCCTTGCGAAGCCTTCTTTCTGCTGTGCTCATGTCTGTGTGCTCGTTCGATGCACGCGTGGACAATATTGCCTGAGCCACGAAATTTTGCGTGTGTTGCTTATCATGTCGCGGTACGTGGAGGATAGCGGGACCTGGGCGCCTTCAAAAACGGGTATTTGGAGATGGACAACCTGTTGTACGGCAGGCAAAGTTGACTCCAGGATCTTGTAACATTAGAGAGAGAGAGAGAGAGAGAGAGAGAGAGAGAGAGAGAGAGAGGAGAGCGTGGTGCCCTGCGGGGGGGGACGTCGCCCTAGCGCCCTACCATCAACCCACGTAACCCCCAGGGTCCCCGCAGATCAGTATCGATCGGTCCTAAGGTTTTCGTTGTTTTTGCGCTTCTGCATCCAGGTGGTGGCGGTCGGTGAATGCGGCTTGGACTACGACCGTCTGCACTTCTGCGGCAAAGAAGACCAGGTGGGATGGTCTTGGCTGTCCCGTTTTTCTGGAGGCAGTGGGGTATGCAAGCGCGTAATACGAATGTTGGCTTCTTGGCGCGAAGACCCCTTTGAGCACTACCCTGGGCACGTTCATGAGCTTGAGCTTTGGGGCGACGGTTGATTTGTGCTGTACTTTCTCCGTGGTGTCTTGTCGTTTTTGTTGAGATGTTCCCCTCCCCGTTACCACCTCCCCCCTGAAATCGCCACCGTAGGGCAGCATCCTTCTGACGTCTACTCTGGGATCGACTGCTGAACACTGCCACTTGGGGGGCCTATCTCATCTCGCACTCACCTGTCGCGCTGCATATTCATTTCCCTCCGTGAACCTGCCCATGTACCTACCTCTATGACAGGCGAAGGGGTTCGAGCTGCAGTTCGAGCTGGCGGAGCGGAGCGGGCTGCCGGTCTTCTTCCACTCGAGGGCCTGCAGGGAGGACTTCGCCGGGCTCGTGAGGCGGAATCGGGATCGGGTATCGGGCGGGGTGGTGCATAGCTTCACGGGCACCAGGGAAGAGGCGGAGGAGCTCGTATCAATGGGTGCGTGTTGTTTTTGTTACTATCATCATTTTTTTTACCCACTCGTGTACTACAGTATCGCGCACAAGAAAGGTCTACAGTCCTTTGCCGTTGTTTTTTCTCAGGGGGATTTCCAAGGTGACCAGCCCAGCACTCGTAGCAGCAGCGGTACACGTGCGCGCACACGTCAGTCGTACTATCTAGCTAGTGACTTTTGTGGAACAACACCGTTGGCGCCTGCACGTTCTGATCATGGCTGTAAACTGCACGGTCTGCAGCACAGGCACTGGAAGTGTGCAACCAGTCTTCTCGGCACTCTGTATACTCAGCCGTGAGTTGATTTCCCGATGATGCCTGGTTCCCCTGAGGCTTGATGGAAATGGTTGGGACCCGTTTCGAGAACCCCCCTCCCGCCCCCCTTTCCGTCTCATCCTCGCAGGCTTGTACATCGGCATCAACGGGTGCTCACTCAAAACGGAGGAAAACCTGGAGGTATGATGCGTACGAAACCCGATGAGTGCCGTGTGCCGTGCGGGGATGGATAGGGGAGAGTGCGAGAAGCGATTGCAATATATAGTAGAACAGTAATACGATTGAAAATGCTTCGCGCCGGCGCCGTCCAATGTGATTGTCCGTTCGCACGTGAGCCGTACACGGGTGGTATTTACCCGAAGGGATGCTCTGATTTTCCGTACCTGGTACATGTACTATTCCCGGACCTTGTGGAGGCGTCGGTCGATCGTTCCTTCATGTATTTGTGTGTGCAATGTGTGTGTGATTTGAAGTGAGACGGAATGTATATGTATGTGTGTGTTTCCTCTCACATCACCCTTGAGCCATTTGTTCGTTCGATACCGGTCCCTGTTCTTGGTGTCGTGTGCCTGCTGGTGATGACAACATTGCTAGGTGCCAAACAACAGCACCACCGACAAAGTCAACACTTAACAGCATTGTCATGAAACGACGATAACAATATCACCAACAACCAACAACACCAATAACCAACAACACCATCATCCACAGCAACAGTATTAGCAACAACAACAGCAACAACAACAACAACAACCCTTCAGGTGGTGCGCTCGATCCCAGGGGACAAGTTGATGCTGGAAACCGACGCCCCCTGGTGCGAGATCCGCCCGTCGCACGCGGGATCCAAAACGATCAAGACGACCATCCCGTGCCGCAAGAAGGAAAAGTTCGAGGCCGGGTTTTGCGTCAAGGGTCGCCAGGAGCCTTGCCACATTGTCCAGGTGGGAGCCTGCGTGTCTGTCAGCACAGCCCGTCGTTTGTGCGGGGACGTACGCACACGTGTGAAGGGGAATTATTTGGCGCCGATCTTTTCTGTGGTTGGAGGTGGTGGCGGTGGTGGTGGTGGTGGTAGTGGTAGTCGTCGGTGGGTACGTTTTTCACGGGAAGCTGACTCCTGATTGGTCGATCCTTCTCGCGGATTGTGCACATGTGACCAAGGTGGCGCGCACACGCTCGCGTTATTATAGTGTCTTTTTTAGTGTATTTTTTTTGTTAGCGTCGGCCGCGCTTACCGGCTGACCATTGAACTAAAGGCCAGGCTTAGGCTTAGTCCTAGCGAGAAAATCAAATGCGAGCACACGTCTTAGTCAGCGAGTCCCCTCGACAGAGGCGCTGGGGGGGAGATTGGACGACAGGGTCCAATTCCGCATTCAGCGTATGTGCAGCTGGAAAACCATGAGTGTATTGTGATGTGCTGCTGTCAGCGGCACATCAACCCCATGTTCGACTTGGATGTGTACTCCGGCAACCGGAAGTGCCACAAGTACCGGGAGGCTCTAGATGTTATTCCTCCGTCAAAGTTGTAAACATCCAATCCAACATTCCCAAAACCCCATCCTGCAGGTGTTGGAGGTCGTGGCAGCCGCTAGAGGTGAAGAGCCGGGCGAGCTTGCCGCGCAGGCTCTGGAAAACACAAAGCGTCTCTTCTTCCCGAGCGAAGTGTAACAAACCCGCCGCTTGGTCGTCGTAGTTTTGGAGCCAATTTTGGTTCGCGGGAACGCCGTCGCTGTGTCGGAGTCGCTTTCGTCTGATGTTCGGCATGAAAAACTGTCTTCTTTTGAGTTTTTGTGTGGAGTGGAGGAGGCATTGCCGGAAGAATGAGTCATCCGCAGTCACCTAGTACATCATACTTCATGAAATATTTCATGGAATTACATGCACTTCCATGGACTTCCCGGTACGGTCCATGCACTTGCTGGCCGCCTGTAAATAGCTGCGTGGTCTCAGGCCTAGACTATCTCTGTTGTGCACGCACTTGTAGAGTGGTGGGCAGGAAGCTGTGCAGTTTATACTACTGTACGCCGAATAGAAGTGCTACAAAGTGGTACTATTAATATAATACCGTGGTGCTCTTCTTTGGGTCCGTTTCGACGAATCTTCTTGCATCGTATCGTACCGTACCAGTACACTGAAAAGGGCGTGGTACCGTGGTGCATTTCTGAGTGGGTGGAGGGATGCCCGGGCAGCTGTGTTGCTGCTTTCAGGACGAGATCGTTGTTGTGGGTGGTGTTCGGGCGGATAGACTGGGGCTGGTCGATGTCGTGGACAACCGTCGGCGGCGCCCCTGCTGCTCCCACCAGCAAACTAAAACCTGTTGTAACACCGCCTGACTGCCCAGAACGTTGCTTTGAGTTTTTTCGTGACTCCTCGAGTGGGAGGGTGAATTCGTTGGCTCTTCCGACCGCCCCAACAAAGTGATCAATAGTAGGTGTCGTATGTACAGGGCGGACGAGGAGGATGGCGGGAAGACATGCGCCCCCTGCACACAACGACGAGTAGAACCACGAGCGAATGAATGCATTGGGCCTTTGACAGGGAGAAGAGAGGAAGGACCCTCACGGGAGGACAGAAATTGCGGGCAAAGAGATAGGAGGGTCGTGCGCGAGTGTAACATCAGAAGACGATGCCATCGTTGGTGGAGGTCGACTCTCTTTTCGAGGGCGGGCACCATTCTCTGCCGTCGGGACGATACATTGCTGCTTCTGTTTTTTCTCAATGGATGCGCATCTATCGATGCCAGAGAGTCAAACGGTTGGAGATTCAAGGCGAGTCGTCGGCCACGTCACGGGGGAAATTCGTTTCGGTAGAGTAGATTACCACTCGTTCCCCCCCCCCCTTAAACGGTTCTTTGGCTTGCTTCCGGGGGGGGGGGGGCGACTCGTATGTTTCTTTTTGGCAATTTTTTTTTCGTTGGTGGTGGTCAGATCTCCTGGCAGGTATCGTTACACTATCTACCACCTAGTCTACATGAACCCTTGCTATGGGTATGATGTCTAAAGCAGAGAGCAGACGGCGGTGTGCGCAAAAGAAAGCAAACCCAACACCATCGATCTTTTGATGGAGGGGGGCACCGGCTTTTGTCTACCCGCCCCCCCCCCTCCCCCCGTTCTGCACCCACAGGATCACAGATCACAGGCCACAACACAGAATCGCCGCCACACTTTTTGGCTGCGTCCCATCCTGAAAGTCGAAAGCATGCGCACAGAGAGGGCGGGCATTGGCGCTGCGTTGATCGGAGCTCTGATCTGCCTCTTCCCTGCTGTCCAGGCGTTCACACTATCGACAACCATGTCTGCCGTCCAGAAGCCGAAGCTGTGGGACATGCCCGTATCCAACAACGGCGCACGTTGCAGGTACAGTCTGCTGTACAGCAGTATTAGTCTAGTACCTCTCAAACCACCGGTGTAGTCTACTATTTTGTGTGCTTGCTTCCTTTGCAGCAGGCTGCCAAAGGAGTACTTGTAGAGGCGAGACGTTTGATGCAACTCTCGCTGCTGGTTGCTACTGCTGTAGGATCGGGTGTTGTTGGCGTGGAGTGTTTGCCTAACCCTGCAGCAGCAGATGAGACGGACCGCGGTTCGTGGACCACATGCACACGCAAGCAAGCAGTTTGAACAGAACAACCTTCTGGAGATGCACAGCCATGGTCTAGTCTCCTCTCCTCTAGATATAGTCTACAGCTACGGTCTACAGTGCATTGTAGACTACTACTGTACATATTTAGTCTAGGCACACACGCTGCCGCTGTAGCCTTGACCGAGCACCAGAATGTACGCAGCAAACACCAGTAGCACAAAAACACCCTCATGATATATAGTCTATTCGCTGTTTGAAAAAGTACGCAATGCGAGCCGGGCCATGTAGTCCTTTAGCAGTACCGTCCTCTTCTTGAGCGTACACTGCAGCAGTCTACAATAGTGCAGTAGTCTAGTCTACATTAAAAGTCGTTCCGCGACAACTTAATATTTCGATGTCGTGCCGCGCTACGGTACTGTCTGTATGAGCTGCCTACACGCACGTCTAGACTATGTGCGTTCCCTGGATTCTCACGCAAGGCAGCTGCAGCGGCAGCAGGAGCAGCAGGGAGAGAGAGAGAGAGAGAGAGAGAGAGAGAGAGAGACGGGTGCATGGCTCCTTTACTCAACATATTGCAGTAGTTTGTTGATGGGGGTGTTGTCGTTGTTGATGACGTAATTGTAGTTGTTGTTGTCGTTGTTGTCGTTTTCTTCAGGGAATACGTAATGGTGTGTGGTGGTAGCTTCACACCAACAGACGTTCATCATGCTTATGTACTCATGTTCGGGTCTGTTGCATGCACCTGCCTGCTATACATACTTGGGCTATTGGTGCACGCAAGACATGTGCAAATTCAGAGAATCTTTGTAGCTGAGGGTTTAGCTTTTGGACACAGCAAAATAACGTATTTCTTTGTTTGTGCTTCGCGCTTACAAGTAAGTGTAGTGTCCGTGGTGCTGCCTCCCCTTCCCCCCAAAAATACAAAAATACAGCTACACAAAATACAGGAAACTATGCGCCACCAGCGTAGAAACCACTTGCGTGCGGGCGGGTCACTTGTACCCCTCTCTACACCGAACCCTAGGCTATTTATATACATGTAGTCTACAGTCATACTTGGGCTCACATCACGTATTTTGGCTCTCATCACGTCAACAAACTCTCCTTGTCGGTCGCAGGTTCATCATCTACGAGAAGGGCATCGAGGACAAGGTGGACATTGCTCCCCCCACGGACGTCGGCGGCCTCAAGTCGGAAGAGTACCTCAAGATGAACCCGCACGGGAAGGTTAGCCAACGCCCGCCCAATTCGCTGGCTGACGTCTTTGGCCTGTGAACATAAGCACCTGGGCGGTGGTTGTAGATACTGGTACGGGTTGTTTCGCTGGTGGTACAATATACGTGGCGGCGGTAAGGGAGGTGTACTCATGTAAACGCATGCCGAGTCCATTGACCTCTCGCATCCCTACAAAGCCGGGACGGAGTGGGGGGGTGGCAGGACCAACACGGCCAGCGGCGTGGGCACTCGGCACCGAAAATGATAAATCACGTTGGACCCAAAGCAGACTACTGCTGGCTGTCGAGGGATCCAACTTCTTCGGACCTTGTACCCCGCGACATCAAGAATACCGACAACCCCCCCTCCCCCTTCACGAGTACGCCCCCTCCTGGGTGGAGAGCATGAAATCACCTTTCCGGGGATAGATAGTGCCTAAGAATGTACTGAGATCGGGGGTGACCAATTGTAGACGCGTGGTTTCACCGTTCTCGCGCCCCGCCCCATAGATGCCGTGCCTGAGCAGCCCTGACTGTGGGTCCATCCCGGAGTCGGACACCATCTGCCAGTACCTTCTCGACAAGTGAGAAAAAGATATCGTTCTGCATTGAAATGGGAGGCCCGTTGTTGTTGTTGTTGTCGTCCTCGTTGTCCTATATGTTGTTGCTGTTGCTCAGTCGTGTTTGTGGGCATCGCAATTATTTGCTGTTGTTGTTGTTGATGGGCCTTCGTTTGTTGGATACGCGGCCGTACAGTAGCACCGAGAGCACCCGTATCCGAGTGGCTAGACGACCACCATGCCCTCATGTTCTCATGCTCGCAGTGCAAACCACGTACTCGATGCCGTGCACCACAGGTTTGAGCACGAGGGCAGCTCGTTCCGACCGCAGACGCTGCAGGCACGCATGAAATCGGCGGCCATCTGCCGGCTCTTCGACACGTACATCCATCCCATCCAGGTGAAGGTTATTCTTGAGTCTGCGTATGTATATAGTAGATGCGTGCGTTGTCGCTGTGCACACGTGCGCATGTGTGTGCCCTCTCCGCCCCGCCCCCCCCCCCACTCCTCAAGAGTTCGTCTGCCCCCTCCCTGTAACACGCCCCTTGTCTACCATCTATCTGTACTTCATCTGCCTCTCCGTGTCTCACGTGCGCTTCCTTCCTTCCGTCCTTGTGTGTCTGATTCTCGTCCTGGTTCGGGGGGAAGAAAAGGGCTCTATGTACAAGGCTGTTCCTCCGTTTGGGGTCCACTCGGACAGGATCGCGGCCCTCGACGACCTACAGGTGGGGGGAGGGTGGAGGGTGGGGGGTGGCGGAACTTCACGGAAATCGGAAAGGGTGCCTCTCAGGGGTCCGCTTCAACGAGCACCCCTCCATGATAGATACCAGCTGATGTTTGAAAAATATTGGTCACTGCTGCTCTCCTTCTTCCAAAACTGTTTATTGCCCTGCACAGCAGTAAATACGGCATAAATAGGCATACGTACATGCTGTCGTTGCAAGCTTTCTGGATGAAGGCAACGAATCCGTTATGAATATTAAAGGGGAAATACCTCCCGTGGCTATGCGTACCGTACCGGGGAACCCTTTTGGTGGGAGCTAAGGGTCATTGTTTTGTTTTGTTTCTTGGTCTGGGGCGGGGCAAACAGTCACCACAGGAAGCGGTCCGTGGACACCCCGTCGTGTGACACGAACCCGATTCATTGGTGCCTAAAAACGCGAGCTCCTAAACCTGTTCCCTTACCCCCTTTGCAATGCGTTCTGCCTCGCGTAGTTGCCAAGAAGAGATATAATCAGGACAAAAACGACGACAGGCCTACCTACGCCCACCCGTGCTAGGCCACCATCCAATAAATGCCGCTGTTTCCAGCGATACTCCGAACGAAAACTTGTTGAATGTACAAGACGATGTTCTATACATATGCATACCTACGTGCTTAATACAAACAGACTCAGCTGGGTTACTTGGAGGAGCTCGCCAGCCCCGACGGTCCGTTCCTGTCGGGCAACGAGCTGTCCCTCGCCGATGCCACGGCGTGGCCCACCATGATCTTCGTGAGGGAGATGATGCTGCCGAGGTTCGGCAGGACGCCGGCCCTGGGACCTCGGCTGCTGGCGTGGTGCGAACACATGGACCGGCACCCGGTCGGCAAGAGGTGAGCGTCCCGCTTGCTGTTTTGGTACCCGTGGTGTGCAGTGTTTATAAGTTGCAGGGTGGCAGGGAAGTTCATCGCTCGTTGCCCTTACTTTTGTCGTCATGGGAAAGTTTGCGGTGGTGTGTAATGTCTAGTTGCAGGGTAGCAGGGAGGTTATTCGCTCGTTCCCCTTGCTGTGTTGTCATGGGAAAGTTACCGGTGGTGCGCAGTGTTTTTTAAGTTGCAGGGGAGTTGCTGCCGTTGTGTGCATGGTGTTGGAAGACGGTCGCGCGGCGGAGATGCATATTCGAGGACGAAGTTCCTGAGTTTTTGGTGTGTAGTGTGTGATAGTTGGTTAGCCTTCGTAGGCATCTATCTGCCGCGCTCACCATCTGGCCAATGAAAGAAAGTGATACGGCATGTGTGTACAAGTATGCGTGTTGGCGTTTTGTGTGCGTGCGTATCAGGAGCCCGGGCTTCTTGCCATCTTCATGTTGCCACTGCTGGTTTAGATATCTTCGTTTTGCCCATGTTCGTTGGATTTCTTGTGTGTTTTTTCATAGGCATCCTGAATTGTTTTGCGTAACGTTGGGAGAGGAGAGACTACATTTCGCATGTAGTTGGTTTTGGGGGTTCCGCGGCTGACATCTTGTGGACATATTATTCGCCGATTCTTTTTAGCTGCTGCCCGTCTCCTCCCCCGGTCCCCTTTCTGTACACGAGCTTCCTACGTAGAACACCTGGCTGGCCAGCGAAGCTGTGCATTCACTTCACTACACTGCTGTACGTGTTTAATTCCGTAGGGATACAATGTAGGGTTTGGTTGTTTGACCTCGGCGACAGCCGGCCGTGCTGCGGACCACAGGACCTTTGCTACGCTGTATACAAAAAAAACGTACCCATCGCCTCCGTGTGAGTGAGGTGCGATGTGTGCGTCGCTCTTGCTTCCCTGTCGTCGGTGTGTGTGTGTGTGTGTGTGTTTTTTTTTTTTTTCTTAATATGACACAACGAAACCATCTCTATCATAGAAAAGAGTCTGAGACAGATTAGCAATGGATTCATAGCGTCAGAAAGTACCTGTATGTCTACGATTTCCCAGACAGCATATAGGGACATCTCCCCTGCGGGTAACAGGCTCAACAAGACAGTTTGGTAGCTGCCTTGTGTGTCTCATATATGTTATGTTGGGAAGGTGCAGATGAAATGTGTTTTGTGTGTGAAATTGTCGTGCGGTGCAATGATGAACGTTTCGTCTCCTGGTTGCTTTTTTGTTGTTGGTTGTTCGGGCCTCCAGGATAGCGGACGAGATCAAGGCGCCGCTTGACAAGTGGGGCGCCAACGGCCGGTGAGAAATCACACCTCTTTTTTTGTTTTTGTGTGTGTTCCGGTGGTGCTGGTGGTCGTGGTGCTAGTGCTACACACGAGGCTTCGTGTCGTCCTTGTCATCATCTTCGTGTCGTCCTTGTCACCCAATCCATTGTCTTCCACGCGTTTGTCTGCTGCTTCCCTGCTACTGGCTACACGGAGCGCGTGGAAGGCTGGTACTTTGAAGGGTGAAAAGGAAAAGGGCAAGTCTTCACACGACCACTTACACGGGCTGTGAATTTTAGGAGTATGGAGGAGAGACCCCTCGTCTCCCTCGTGTTGCGTGGATGGCCCCTGTGTGTCTTGCGGCTCGCGGTTTCCCTCCATCCTGGTTGACGGGGAAGTGTACGCGGTGCGCGGGGCTCTACTTTGGCAACACACAACACGCTCTATCGGCTTGTGGAGGCGATAACGCTGCCATCCCCGGCCGAAGTTGGTTGTTGTTGGTGGTGGTGTTGTTGGTGTTGTTTTGTTTTGTTTTCAACCAATCCGTGGAACTAGTTGTAGTAAAACCCGCCGTGCGTGGTTTACACACCACACCACACCACACCACACCGTCGCTGCCGTCTCAAATGTACACACATGATCAGAAAAGGGCGGGGCATGGGTAACGACAAAAACGAACTTTTTTTGCTCGCGGGAAACGCCGATTGCCTGGAGTGTATACCTCCACATCAGGAGAGGAAGGACGGTGACTTTGTTGTTATACCTAGAAAGTAACGGATCGTCGCTCACCCCCTCCCCCCCCCCTCCGACACCACATCGTGTCATGTGGTGTATGTAGGTGGGACACCATCCTGCACGCGGGAAAGCGGGACACGGAGCCCCCGTCGATTTTGGACAAGTTCTTGGCCAAGGAAATCCCTTCGACGGGGGTTTTGGGGGACGACAGCGTGCGGCCCTTCCGGTAAGCGGGGGGGGGGGGCAGGGGCGCCGGGGAATAGGAAGGACGTGTCAGGGGAGACGGAAATAAGAGGGTCCTCTGATTAGCTCCTCGTCCAGTGTTTTCGTGCCGTCGTGGTCGCAATGTGAGCCAGTCGGGGGACGGGGGCTACAGAAATGGATATGGTTACCGTTTCTTGAACGTTTGACGGCCGTGGTAAGCGAATCCGGGTGATACCGAACACCTGTCAAGGTGAACACATACTCCTTCAGTGCGTGCGGGCGGGCGGTGGGGCGGGGCGGGCAACAGGGCGAACCGGTCAGGTCTGGGGCAGCACATTCCCTTGTTTTGCTCACTTTCGACCAAGACAAGACAGTAGAAGGCCGGGGGAAGGAGAGACGCGCGGATGGATCAGTTTCGTCACATCAAACAGGCACATTTTGCATTTCCTTGTCTTTTCTGCTCTGTTATATGCTTTTTCGAGGGCCATCCTGGGGCAATAAAACAAAAAAAAAAGCTGAAAAAAGCTTTCGTGTGACCTTCCTCTTGTGTGACCCCGGCTGATAAGTCAGGGATCTACGCCGAAAGACCTGTAAACCGGCGCCAGAGCAGATGGGACGAACACACAAACACACACACACACACACATCCTGCCATCGTGTCGAATGCTGCCACTACACAACCAACCACTATCAAGACACGCTTTGTCAGTGACCCGGAGTCAGCCGGCTAACAACGCGCTCGATGCCGAATACAAGTGGCACGCCACGAACGAACTAACACAAGCACACGCTAACAATGCACACGAACAATCACCCCCGCGCCCAGGGACATCGCTCCGGTGGCCCCGACCCACGTCCTCATCATCCCCAAGGTTCGGAATGGGCTGACCCAGCTCCGACACGCCACCGCCGACCACGCCGGGGTTCTGGGTCACATGCTCGAGGTTGCGGCTAAGATCGCCAAGGAGGAAGAGCTAGAGGGATTCAGGTGTGTGTGTGGGGGGGGGGCAAGCGCACGTTCGTTGCTTGCATACATGCAAGCGTTTTTTTTTGCCTACATGCAACCTGAACCAAGACTTTGTGGGCGTGTCGTTTTTTGTGTTTTCGTCGTTGTTGGCGGTAAAAAATTGACGTACACCCTCTGGCATGTTTTCGCTCACTGCTGCTGTTGCTGCTGCTGCTGCCACCTCTCTCTGCTGCAGCGGTTATCTCGTCTCGGGTTGCGTTTGTTTCGCTGACCTCCGCTCTTCCTACAAACGAACGCTGATATAAATTGATTTCTTTGGACCACTGCTCGCTGCTCTTGCTACTGCTACTGGTGTTACTTTTCTGGAAGGGTGGTGGTAAACGACGGCGCCAAGGGGGGGCAGGAGGTCTTTCACCTGCACATGCACCTCATCGGTAAGTCAGCCCATACGAGAGTGTCGTGGATGTCTGTATCTCCCGATGAAATGCTAAAACAAACCTCGACTACTTCTTCTGTGATGATGTTGCGACCGACCGTGTCCGCACTTTTTTTCCGGATGGCAGCGAGATTTTTTTTCAACTCTCTTTTATCTCCTCCGCAATGGTATCTGTTGTTACGGCAGTTTATTCCACCTGTTAGCCGTGGCGCACGATGGCGCCTTATCTCGGCCTTTCTCTCTTCTCAAACGTCTGTCTCGAGTTGCTTCTTAATTAACCCTGACGATCTGCAGGCAGGTCGTGCTGTCTTCCTTTCTTTCTCACCCCCGCGACCGTCATGGCTCTTGTCCGGTTGCGGCCCACCCTGTCCCCCGTTTTGTTAACCCCCGAAAGCAACGCCTGGGAGCCTACGGTAAATATACTACATGTACGTTCGTATGCACATGAAGAGCAAACAAGCGCCCAACGACGTTCGTTGTAATCCGTCTCCACAAAGTGCAATGTGTCTGTATGTGTCTACGTTGGCTGAAGGTTGAGGTTGATGACTTGTTATTTCGGTTGGGCGACCGCCGACAAGAAGTAGTCTACAGCGGTAAATAGTAGTGTGTGCTCACTTACTTGCTCTTGCTGTTGTCTTGTGCGACCATCGCTGCTGCAGGAGGAGGAAAGGACATGGAGAAGCTTGGAAAGATGGCGTAAGCCTGCTGTACCAAGAAAGGCATTGGGTCGGTTACTTTTTAGCCTATATGTACCATCTCAGGCTCGTGACATGCGTTTGTTCACCGTTTGTGAGGGAGGTCCTCCTTGGTGGTACATCTAGAGGCGGAGGTGATGACCGGAGGGGGGGGGGGGTGTACTCATAGTCGTGCATGCCGCAGTCGTTAGACCATTGAACTCGCATCCCTAGAAAGCCGGGACGGAGCACGCCGGGTTCTCACCGGACCAGGCTCTCACATCACCAAGCGCGAAGCGCCGACGGGGAGGGGGGTGTACTCATAGTCGTGCATGCCGTAGTCGTTAGACCATTGACCTCGCCGACGGGGAGGGGGTGGGGGTAAATCGATACAAGACGATCAGTTAGTTTGCCTTTAACAACAAATTTAATGCACTTGGTGGTTCCATCATCCATGGAGTCTATAGTTCATTGTAGCGTTACGCATGGATCGAACAAGCGAGGTATTGAGCGGGACGTGACAAGGGCTGTTGATCTCGGTGCTGTAAATCGGACCTCTCTTGGCGAGGACGAGATAGTGGCATTGGCTAGGCTGGGCTACAGTAGATACTTGGCCCGCACAGTCAGACAGCCAGTCGCGTGCTTGTTTTCCGCGAAGGGCCACTACTGTAAGCAGAGGTCACTCCGAACTTAGAGGTCTTGAGTTTTCGGACAAGGCATCTATCTCGCTGCCCAAACGAGTGCTCGTATATTACGCGAACCGCTTGTTCCACTCAAGTTTCGTATGTATGTTGGATGCATGCACATGTGAGGCATGGTTGGTGTCCGTGAAGTCGGCACGGGGACACTCCGTGGAACCAAAACGGGGACAATTCTGATGAGACCAAAACCCACAAGAAATCGCCGCAACAGGGTCGCTTTTTCAGTGTATACACCCTCGACAAGAAGAGCGACACACAATACATTGGTATGGGGGGAGGGGGGGGGGAGCTTCCACGCCACTTTACTACTACTATCGTCGCTCGCAGTTCCGTGTGTGTTTGTGCTTCTCCGGCTGGAGAGCTCCGATCGGAGATAACACATGAGACGAACCCCCACTCACTCTGTACCGTGTGAATACGGTGCATGCGTTCGTAAAAAATGTGGAAACGGGTCCTCCTGTAGTAGGGTGTGTGAATCCTGGAATACAAAGCATGATTAGCGAGGTGCACATGATGAACGAACGCCGCGCGACGATTCGTGAGCTCTCTAACTCATCGGCATCATCACCCCCACACTCGACAACACCCGCCCCCCCAAGAACCACCCCGTCCTAACCGCTTAAATTGCGAAAGGCAACCGCAGCAAAGAAGGACAACGAAACCCATAAACAGGACAAGACAACATCCGCCCACGCACGCGTCCACCCAAACACTATTTCCACCCAAATATTTTGCAACCAATGATCGATATACCACACGAGCGGGGCCTACCGTTCTCCCCTGACGCCCCCGCCCGGCCCCGCCCCGCCCCGCCGCACCCAGCTTGCTCGCTCGCTGGTGCTCTCTAGCTCTTTGCAGAGTCTCTTGATAGCATGCCTCGACAAAAAAACACACACACAAAAAAGCCACCCAACCCCGGTTGACGCGCCCACCGCGCATCTGTCCGTTCGATCATCCATTGTACGATAGCCGACAGGGGAAATCGAAACAAGTAAGCATGGTCTGGAGAAAGGGGGATACGTAGAGGAATGGGATAAGCCCGAGCTTGTGCACCACGAAGGGGGCTCACCTCACCATCAGACCCCCCCCGCTACGCATCCCACCCCTTGCCCCGCCTAGCAAGCAGATGTGGACACGACCTGTCCAGCAGCCTCCCCTACAAATACGTTCACCAACCCACGATCGCGGTTGTTTTTGTTGCCCTGTGTATAGAAACGAAAAAATCACTCTACCTAAAACCTCTACTTTACTAGGATACACGTCAGACACGCGCGGTGCGGTGCGGTGCGGTGCGGTGCGGTGCGGTGCGTGCGCACAATACAACAGCACACACCTCTCTCCCGAGCCACGTTTTCTAGAACCCCGTACCCTTTTCACGAATCAACTCATACCAACTCAAAAGGGAAGAAATTTCCGTGCAACCAAACCGCGCACTCGTCCGTCTCCCCCCCCCCCCTTCCGCTCAGAGCGGCCGAATGCCCTACCCCCACGCCGCCAGCAGCAAACGCCTGTCGAGAAAGGACGACGCACACCAACTACACCGTCCGTGGTACTCAATATCAGGCCTTGATGGCGTGCGGGTGCACCAGGATCTCCCCCGAGCGGCGCGACGGGCGGGGCTGGTCTCCCCCAGAGGGAGGCGTCGACCCCCCCCGGG